AAAAAAAAAAAAAAAAAAAAAGAGATAGGAGTTTGGAACCTCCTTTCACCATAGAACTCAGCTAAACTTTTTTTTCTCTCCAGTCCTTTAAGAATAGTCAGAAAAATGGATAGAAGGTCAGTAGCACCTGTGTTTGTTCAACATGAAGTCACCAAGTTTCTGTAATGCCTGGTGAGGAATTGGGAGCTCCTTGGGGTGACAGGAGGGGTGAGGACCCCGGAGCTGTGGGTGTGCCCTTCAGGCTGGGATACAGATGGCATTTTATGTGAACATACGGTCACACTCACATTCTGCACGTGAGGCATTTGAACGAAGGGTGCCCATGATTTGCTTCACCAAGTTGCCTTGAAGGATTGTCCTTCTGTGTCCACGGCTGAAAGATCTTTTTCCTCTTAAAGGCTCAGAAGTCAGCACTGTGGGATGGGAAGGAGGAAAGCAAGAGTCTTGGGAGGAGGGAGGGAATGGGGGCTTCCGCATGCCTGCCCGCACCCCCTTCACAGAAGTCTTCATTTCTCTGTTGCTAAATTGTGCACACTGATCTGCTGTGTACGGAGTCTCCGAGCGAGTTGGCAGGAGCACCGGAGTGTGTCAGGCCTGCTAGGGAATACACATACTCGGGTTTAGTTTAAATGAGCTGAGCGCTGGAGAACGGCCTGACAGCTACAGGGAGCCAAAGCTCTGCTTCCCACCAAGCAAATCCCTTTGTAGGTTGGAGCTGTCAGTCATCATTGCCCCAGGAGTACCTGCCTGAGGGACCAGTGTCCCCACCACACTGCCACTGTGGAGGGTAGGTAGGGCCAGTGTAGCTGGGCTGCTGAAGCGTGGGGTCTTCTGGATCCTGCTCTGATTTCAGCCCATTCAAGATCTTGAGCCTAATGTATGAGGCTTTCTAAGGGGACAGAAAGAGTTTGGTCTCTGAGAACAGACCTGGTCCGAGGCTCTAGGCTCTTCACGTCTTGGCAAGTTGGGTATAGCCTATCTCCCTTGCTACCTTTTCTAATAGTAATATCTTGATTAATTCCGGACCAGTTGTTCTTTAAAAAAATTTTTTTTTCTACCCTTTGCAAACCACCTACTCTTCTCTGAGAGTGACTTTGATTGAAGTTTGAAGTTTTAAGGTTCAGCTGTTTTCTAGTTTCTTGTTATTAGAAAATGTAGCAATTCCCCCCCAGTAAAGAAGGAAAAGGTCCTTCCCTCCTTCCCTCTTCTCCTCCTCCCCTCCACCTCTGCTTCTCCTGGTGTGTCATAACTTTAAAAAGGTCTGCAAGATACAGTTATTTATTCTTCTCCATCCTTCCCTCAACTCAATTTTGGGCTGAGGCCAAAACTTGGGGGAAACGAAGAAGCAGCCATCCAAATAGTCTCCTTCAAAGCCAAGCATTTGTCCCCGTGACTGCTGCCCACCCCTACCCCATGCTGCTGCAGGGAATGGGCTGAGGGTGGGGAGTTAAGGGAAGCTTGAGGAGCCCAGCACCTGGCCATGCACGGGCCATCTCACCTCATGCACAGCACACATGGTTATGAAAGACCCCTTGTGTTGGAAGGCAGTCAGTCCAGAGGGGGCCTCCTCAGAAGGTAATTGCTTACTCCAAGGGCTGGCCTTGCTGAAATTTATAGCTCTGCTCAATAAAACTATTGTGCAGCTCCTTAGGAAGCCAGAGGGTGGATTTTTGCTTGGAAACCAAGAGACACAGAGCCCAGGCAGGCTGGGGCACCCCTTGAGGGGAGGCACAGCAGGGAAGTCAGGGCTCCTCTGCTCCTTCACCCTCCATGCTGAGCATCTTTTTAGATGGAGCCCAGGGTACCTGAATCAAATGAGATGGGAGACCCTGAAAGGGAAGACTTGCATGCAAATGATGGGTGCATGGACTGCTCCCTCATTTATACCAGAAATTCTCCCAGGTCTGCTGCCCTTCACTGACATGTCAGTACATGTCACTGTCAGTACATGTCACTGACATGTCAGTACATGGAATTTCTTTCCAATCCACTGCTACTGTTTTTTTTCCTTCTCTTGATTTATTTTATTGCTATTCAGAGAGGGACACACACACACACTCACTCACAGGTACTTGCACATGCACGTGCACACACACACACACACACACATGCTCAAGTGTAACACAGGACCAAGTCAAAAGCATAATGAAAAAAAGATTGGCTTCAGAGAGCCAGGGAGGTCAGAGCCCATGGGCCCCAGAGTCTAACCCGGAATTTCTCTGAGGGGTGGATTAAAAGTAATCAGGCTGAGGACAGGGACCACCCCAGCTCACCTGACTGATCCTGGGCCTACAGCTTCCCTCAACTCTGCTCTAATTTTCTTAGGAGAGCAATTCGAGTTCAGGAGGCCACTGCCTAGAGCAAAGAGTGGAAAGTGGGCCTAGACTGTGCTGGAAGAAGTTGGATGGGGCCCAGGACAGCCCAAGGCTTGGTAGGGAGGCAGTGGGAAGGAGAGTGGAGAAAAAAGAGCAGGCTGAGTTGAAGAAGAAAATACTCAAGTTTAAGTATAGTGTGGGATGAAGTCCTTTGTCTCAGCTTCAAGTATCTGCCAGGCAGGGCTGTAAGATCTCTGCAGAGTGGTTCCTGGAATGGGGGTGGAAAGAGGCCTGCACGGGGAGCTCAGCCAGTTCAGAAACATCCAGGAGGCCCAGACCTGGCAGGAGCCCAGCCACTCTTTTTCCTCACCATGATCAACACATATTTGTCCCTGGCCTCAGTGAGGCTCAAGTTAATCACTACTGCCTCAAAATTAAAAAGGAAAAACTATGAACAGTTCCACTGATTCATGAATTCTGCTCAGAGCTGCTGGAACAGCTGCCCAAGGGGAAGTCACAAGGCATCCCAGCTGAGACTTCAGGCAAAAGTGGCCTGGGCATGTAAACGCCATGTCCTGTGGCCCATTTTGGCGTTGTAAGGGGTATATTTGTTAAATTCCAGTCGATATCTAAGGGGCCCTGTGTTTACTCCATTAGGAAACCAGATAGAGCTAATCAATGCTAGGAGGACTCTAGTTAACTCCTGAGGGAAGGCGAATATAAACAGCAACATTCAAATCAATGTGACTTCCCCCCTTCCATTGCACACAGGTAGATGGCTACCAGCAGGCCTGTCAGCAGGAGACAGGCTTCTCCTTGGAGGGCAAGAGTAGACAGAGGACCTCTTAGAAGTCAGAGCTCACCTGAGGTTCCACAGTACTGTGGGCCTTGGGCAAAGCAGTTGGCCTCCTAGGCCCTCAGTCTCTTCTTCAGAATGGTAATTACCAGTGTTGAAGTGCACTCAGAATGGTCAAGAGGTTCCAGGATTTCATTTGGCAGTCACCACCCTTTGCAGTGGGCATCATGATTATTATTTCCGATTCACAGATAAGAAAGATGAAGCTCAGAGAAATTAAGTGACTTAACCAAAGCCCCACAGCTGTTAGAAAAACATCTTCCATCCATGTGCTCTGACTTCAAGTCCACATACTTCTCTCCTGGCCATACTACTCCTTGAAGGACTTTTTTTTTTTGGTACCGGGGATTGAACTTGGGACCTTGAGCTTTTGAGGCAGGTGTCAGAACCACTGAGCTAAATCCCTGGCCCCCTTGAGGGACTTTTATAGTTAATACTATGTACATACATCACCCAGTGAACACCATGAGGCAGCTATTATTATTGCTACCATTTTACCAATTAAAAAATAAATCCTGAGGTTCAGAGAAGTAAGAGACTGGTCCAAGGTCATGTAGACTCTTCCAAGTCCTAAGAGTCAACTCCCCTGCTTGATCATATTTTCTTACCCATCAAAGGAGATATTTGGAAAAGTGGATAGCTGGCATCTTTTCTGTCTACAACATGTTGTGATAGCTCAATTTTCTTTCCCAGCCTCACCTTACAGAATTCCTCTCTGCCATACCACCATGGTCACAAATGAAAGTCAAATGCCTCTAGATCAGTGATGATGAAACTTTTAGAGACCGAGTGCCCAAGCTGCAACCCCAAACCCACTTATTTATCACAAAGTGCAATTAAATACTGCAATTAAACCTGAACACTGAGACTTTAGTTTAGAAAAAAACAACTGTTATCCGATGCTCAGCTGCAGGGGCAACTCGGCACAGGTGCTGACGGAGAGGGCTCTGTGTGCCCACTGCGACATGTGTGCCTTAAGTTCACCACCACTGCTCTAGATGAAAGAGAAAAGGAACCTGGAGATGCTGGGAAGAGTTGTTCTCTCTTTGCTGTATTTTTTCCTGCCCCATACCTGCCCTCTGGCTCAGGAGTGTCCCTCTGGTCTGGGGTACAATACTTTAGGAGCAGCTACCCCTAGAATTCTTCCTGTCTGAACATCTACAGAGCTCAGTTACCAGCTCCCTGGAACCCTTACTGAATGCCCGATCCAGGGCTATGTGACCCTTAAAGCTCCCCAAGGCTGGGGTTACCCATTTCACTCGTAGGCCAGGATTGCTCTCTAAGGGGTTTCCACTGTACAGTTAAACTTGGCTCCACTGCTTCAGTTGTCACTGAGATCACATCTCTTCTAGTGGAGTGATGACCAGTTTGGCCGAAGTCTCAGGGGAGATACTCCAAGAATTTGTTTGAGGGAAGATTTTCACTCCTCCTTTGAAAAGAGAGTGGCCAACAGAGATCTTTTTCTCAAAAGTCATTTCCTACTGTTTATTGTTTTTTTACCCCGAATAGTGAGATTAGGCAAAGTCTAGGGTTCCTGGATTATTATCCATAGTAATTTCTTATTCAAGATGGTTTCATATGTAGTTTACAGACCGTGTTCCCCTACACTGCCTCATCTAGCACTCAGAATCGACATGGAGCAAAAAGTTACTTTTGTTTCAGTCCTATTAATGAAGAAAATAGATCTTAGTGAATCTGAGTGATTTGTTCAGGGTCATGAACTAGAAAGTAGCAGAGCAAGATTAGGACTCAGACTCCCCAAATCCTGTTCCAGACCTTTTTTTTTTTTTTTTTTTTTTTTAACATCAGCAGAATTGTTCCTCTGGATGTCCTGGGAATGCTGGAAAAGTGAATCTCAGCATGCAGTCCACTTCCATCTTACAGAGAAAGCAGCTCTGGTTTAAGAGGTGAGAAGATTTGAGGGTCTCTCCAAATCTAGGAGGTAGGACAATGCCACTCACATAAACGATTGATGCATAAATGAGTGAATAAGTAATTGAATGAAGAAAGCTCACCTTTCCCGGTTCTAATCAAACTTGCCTCCCAGTATGTCACTCTGCTTCCTGCACTTTCATTGATCTGCAAATCTAAGATCAGTTTTGAGATCTTAAAAAAAAAATCAATGGGTCTTTTGCTGAGTGGAATCACAAGAAGCAGGTTTGGAAAGGTGGGGAAATAGATTTTTCTAGGTGGAGAAATCGAGGCAGGAACCTGCTTTGCACTACAGCTGAAGGACACCAGCCCAAGAAGCTGTCCTTGGTCCCTTCTCTGACTTCCCTATCTCTGAGTTGGGGAGGATAAAGCCAGTGCTGTACCTTTTGCCAAGGCTGTTGGACACATAGGACTTTGGCCTCCAGCCAGAACCTCTGCTTCAGAACACAGGACCAGTAAGCAGGAAATGCGGCTGCCCTGTTTGAAACCTGGCCTGAATTTCATTTGTGACAAACTACCCTTCATAAACCCCAGAACTGTCCATCGTCACGGAGGTGAGGGAAGCAGTGCCACTGACAGGAAAAACAATTAGAAATACAATTAGTGTTATAAAAGCTGGTCATAAATATTTGAGTTCTCTCCCTGGAGAGGAGGGACAAGATGACAGCTCACAATTCCTTGTATTGACAAAAGAGGAAACAGTCCATGAAACTGGTCATTTGCCTGGGTATTTTTATCTATCAGATTCAAGAGTAGGAACAAGGGAAGCATGAATGATTGGATTAGCTGCCCAGCCTTTATGTGCTTCTGCAGCATCAGCAATACATAGTTATTGCAGCCTTCACACGGATGTGGCCATGCACACACACACACACACACACACACACACATAGATATACTCACAAGCCAGCGTGGAAGGGGACCTCCTGTGCCTCCTTGTAGAAATGATCGCAAGCTCAGACACTCCCATCCAACCATAGAGGAGAATGAGCTTCACCAAGGGCAGACATGGAGAAAAAAGTGAGCATCCTCCCCTCAGAGTTGTTCCCCCTCGTTCTTGGAGGGAAATGACAGTGTCAATAGCATCATGCACTACCCCATGGTCTATCAATGGCCCAGGCCCCTTGTGGGGCCCTTTGAGCTGGTATTGTTTGTGCCTTTGGCTTTTCCTTCCAAGTGTCCATTTGGTTGTTCCATAGGTGGCCTTGGCTCTGCAGCATGCTGTATGTGGCAAGGCCTGTTTGTTTGGCAGCCCTGAACTCTCCAGTTCCTATCTTCTTTGTTTCTTCCTTCTGCAGCTCCAGGCACCTCTGTGCACCCTGGTAGAGGTGGTGAGGGATGAGCAGGGCAGGAGGGGAATATTGGAACTGCAGGTCTTCTGTACTGTTTGAGACAGAGGCCCCCTCTGCAGACATATGCAGCCACCCGGCACCTACGCCCACCGGTAGGAAGCAGAGCTCCCCTTGCTAGGGCATGGTGCCAGCATGGCAGATGGGCATGTGTGTCAGCTGCCAAGGGACTTCAAAGAGGATCCAAATAGGTCTGCACTTTTGGAGGGCAGGACATTCTGTCCTTTGCTCCTCTTCTTAAATGCAGAACCAGCTGATAAAACTATCTACCTTGTATTGCCTTGGTTCCTGTGTGCGCCTGATTCTACTTATCCTTACCATCAGTGTCAATATTTTCACTAATGGGGAGAATGAAGGATGGATGGGGGACATTGGCTTCCTTCAACAGTTACCTATACTTAAGTATGTTCTGAGGCTGCACACCTCTGTTCTGAAGTGTGTGGTATCCTGAAATCAGCTTGTTGAAGGTTTTTCTTTGGCTTTTCTGATAAATGTCTGCAGAATTTCAGCTTGATTACTGGGAAGTGGTAGAAAGCTCACGGCCTCCTTTGCTGGCTAACAGTAGTGGTTGGACAATTTTATTCCATAATAACAAAATCTGCATCCAGCTTAATTCTGCTCTGCCCTGGAGCAACTGAGAACAAATCTACCTCCTCTTCCCATATGACAGCTCTTCAAATATTTTAAACCAATGCTCACATCCCTGAAGAGTCTTTGCTTCTCTAGGCTAAGTATTTCCTGTCCTTTCAATTCCTACAGTCATACTCTGAGTGACACAGGATCCAAATTACTTGTTAGGATGGTGGAGCAAAAGATTTTTGGAAAAAAAATAGGCACTGAATTCAGGCAGATCTGAGCTTGAATCACCTTCATCTAGTGGGGCAGACTGAATAGAGCAGTGAATTGGTGGTCACAGTCTTAGCTGCCATCTAGTATAATTCCACTGCCCAGATATTTGGATTGAATGGCATTTGTGGAACAATTATCATGTAGTAAAGGGTCTACCCTTCTAAAAATATGTATTACTATTTATACTTTAGAAATGAAAAAATTGGTATATGGAAATGACCTTGCTTCCCCTGAGTAATACAGCTAGTCTATAGCAAAGCAAGACCATGGCTCCTGGCTTTTGTTCTCAAGCTAAGTACGATTGCATGACCAGTGCAGCCCCTACACTGGGGACTGGGCCAGAGATTAGAAAAGCATATGATATATCTGTATAACCATATACTGTAGATTAATAGTTGTCAGCAACTTTATTCCTATTGGGGCTAGGGATGGAGCTCAGTAGTAGAGTGCTTGCTCAGCATGTGTGGGGCTGTGAGTTTGATCCTCAGCACTGGAGAAAAAAATGTTCAAGCATGGAGGAATGAGTAGGGGCAGAAGAGGTGGATGAGGTCTTTCTTTACCCTCTGTACTCTTTTATTGTTTGAATGGTTTTAAGAGTACAGTACATTCAAGTAACTCTTCCGTGTTTGAAACACAAGTAAGATCCTTATGATTTAGACTAGACTTTCAATTTGGTTCACGTCCAATGACTGAGCCAAAATATATCCAGGAATAAAGAAAAGTCTCAAATGTGAGAAGCAATACAGCACAGTCTGGTTGCTAAAATCATGCACTCCAGAGCTCCAGATTCAGATTCCAGTCACAGCTCTACTCCTTACTAACTCTGTGACCATGGGTGTGGTGGATTAACTGATGGTCAGTTTAAGTAGGAAGGCCCAGCTGAATGGAGTCAGTGTGAAAGGCCCACCTGAGGATTGCTGCCAGAATGGCATAAAAGAAGAACGGGAGGGGAAGATTGTATGCTATTGATTTTCCTGGAGAAGCTTGCCATGGCTGGTTTTCCTGCTAGGAACTTGGCTGTTCCTGAAGGAAGAGCTTGGGTTCTTGCTGTAGCTGGGGATGGCTGCTGTTCTCTTCAGGGGAGCTCTGATCTTTGCTTGGAGCATTGTTTCCTGGCTCCAGTGCAGATCCCTCAGCCTGGTGGCACAGGTCCTTCACTCGGCTGGTACAGACTTTCTAGCTTCCATCACTGGCTTTGGGGCTTCCTGGTGTTGATCCTTGATATGGACTTGCATGAGACATTGCCGTGGGATCCAGGCCTTCTGCTGCATTCTTTGAGTTTCTAGCACATGGCCAGATCTCTTGCACTCCTCTGCATTTGACTTTTTGGGTGAATATTATAAAATAATCCTATAAATTGTGTGTCCTGTATTAAATCTATTCCCTTCCAAACCCTGACTACAACAATGGGCAAGTTAATTGATTCCTTTATTCTTCCACTCCTCATGTATAAAATATGGATAGTAACTTTGAGTACATAACTGGGCTGTTTTGTTAAGAACAACGAGCTCTCTGAGTTTTAAAAACTTGAGATATAATTAACAATCAGTAAAATTAACCCTACTTAGAGTACAGTTATAAGAGACTTGACAAATCCACAGAGTCATGTAATCACTACCACAATGAAGATGTAGAATAATTCCTCCAAATCCCCTTATGTCCCTCTGCATTCAACAATTCTCCCCACCTCACCCCCTGGAAACCACTAATCTGCTTTCTGTTCCTATAGTTTTCCTTTCCCAGAATATCTTATATATCCTTTTGAGGCTGGTTTCTTTCACTTAGCATAATAAACCTGAGATTTATCCATGTTGTTGTGTATGTCAGTAGTTCATTTCTTTTTATTCCTGAGTAGGACTCCATTGCATGATGTACTACAGTTTGTCCATTTACAAGATGAAGGATCTTAGAGTAGTTTTCAATTGTTGGTGATTATGAATAAAGTATCTATAAACATTCATATATAGGGTTTATGTGAACATAAGTTCATTTAACATGATAAACACTTAGACTGCAATTCCAAAGTCATATGAGTATGTGTTTAACTTCCTAAGAAACTACCAAACTGTTTTCCCAAATGGCTACATTTGGCATTGTCGCCTATTCTGCTACACAGTTCCAATTGTTCTATATCTCACCCAGCACTTAATATTGTCAGTTATTTATTTATTTTAGTCTTAGCCATACTAATAGGTATGCAATACATCTCTTTATAGTTTTAATTTGTATTTCTTTAATTAATAATGTTGAGTATCTTTTCAATGTGATTGTTTGCTATGTGTCTTGGTCAGTGAAATGTTTATTGTTCTTTTTTTTGAAGGTTCGATTTCTTATTGTTGACTTTTAAAAGTTCTTTTTGTATTTTGGATTCAAGTTCTTTGTCAGATATAGGTTTTAGAAATATTTTCTCCCCATCTTTGACTTGCCTGTTAATTCTTTCAAGAGTGTTTGTTGAAGAGGAATTCTTAGCATTTGCTGATTTTTAAAATTTAATGGATTACTGTTTTGATATCATATCTAAGAAATCTTTCCCTAGGCTAAGGTCGCAAAAGTTTTTTCTTTTATTTCTTTCTAGAAGTTCTATATATAGATTTAGGTTTTATGTTTGTGTTTTACTGGAGACCCCTGCAGTTAGGTTCCAGCATCCTGCCCAGTATGTGCTGCAGGCCTGAGGAAAAAATACACTAAGAAACAGAACTAAGAGAGAGAAAGCGGGGTGCCAGGACGACCAATGCCAGTGCAATTGACAAAGACCCTGGCCAGTCCCTGGCACTAACTTTTATTGGCAATCAATTGGGGTAAAGGCAAGCTATGTGCAGTTTCTATGGAAATTAATGTAAAGAAGGCTCATAAAGATCAAGACAAAGCATTCTCGAATTAGGAGCAGAACATACAAAATACACGGTTGTAATATGAACATTGTCCTTCTATTTAGAAGGTTTTAGTTGTGGGAACGGAATTTGGGTGCGAGTTACTCTGACCTCGGCACGTAGGCTTCAGCCAGACTCACTTCTCAAAACAAGCCAGTTGTGGGATTAACTCTTCACAGCCTGCTTTGGGCATAATCAATATTATGGTCCTCTGCATCTCCCCCTTCTCTGTTTGAAAACGGCAGCTGCATCAGATCTGGGGATCTTTGCAGTTCCAAGGGTTGTAGCATGTGATGGGAGTCACTCAGATGTAGCCTTTTCATGGCTTTCAGCAGGGGTGTCACATTGTGCTGCTTACAGCAAATCCATCGTCTTAGTCCATGGTTCTGGGATGCTACCCACAGCATCTTTTTATTTTCTGCTAAGAATAAGCATACCCTGGCCCCTGTGTTATTACTGGTATTGAACCATTTACCTTTTAGTTAGGACATCCTTTGACAACACTAGTGTCTAGGACATATCTGTAGATCTATCTTTTTATCAATGAGGTTTTAATAGAGTATATTTACCTTCCATAAGTGGATTTAAAAAATTTAAAATGAAAGTAACAAGATCTAATTGTGTTTGTGGAGGTAGCTGTACCCCCCTTTTTTGTTTATGTAATTGTGTTTTTAGGGAAAGGTGAGTATGCCCAACAATGGCTTGTTCCTGTGGATTATAAGGACCTATGTCACAAGGACCTATAATATGCATAACTGACTTAGTTGTCTATAATAATTTCCTCTATAAAGAACATCTTCAACTGTGGTTAGGGGAGAAAGGGCATAGTTTTAATCCAACTGTTTAGAGCTGAGAAGGGTCGATGTAGGGAAGACTGCAGTTAGGGGCTCTCTTCAGGGAGCTAATTTAATAGGCCTTAAATAAAAACCATGTTGTAATTTAGCAATAAATTACAAATAATTGTAATAATGCTTCATTTTGGGTTCATTTTGTGTATAGTGTGAGAGAAGGGTGATGACTGTTCCATCTTCTTTTTGGCCAGGCTGTTTATATCCTTTAAAGACCTTCAACATAATTTCATACTATTATTTACAACCCTGCTTAACTAGGCTGGCCTCTGCTGCCCTGGGCACTGTTTTTGACTCCATCAGAATGGAGTTACAATCTTTCCAAGCTACTTAGTAGCTATTTTCCACCAAAGCATGCTAAGAACTAGAAGTTGCTTATTGTAGAGCCTCCCTGGGGTTTGGGGTACATCCAATGAAGGATGTGCTGGGGTTAGCCTCTTGTATAAATACATAGGCGGTAGCTTTGAGAATTGGTTGGTGACGGTGTGTACTGGCATAGGGCCCTATGACCTTGGATGTGACCATCTGAAGAGAGCTCTGGCCACTGAAGCTGAGGTTCTGAGAGGTGAGATGGGTAGGGTGGGAGTGGATACAG